GGCGGCGGCGGTGGTGGTAGCAGCGGTGGCAGCAGCAGCAGCAGCAGCACCAGCAGCACTAGCAGCAGCAGCAGCAGTGGCGGCAGCGGCGGAGGTGCCGTCGGTGGCGCCGGTGGTGGCAACGGAAACGGCGGCGGCGGTGGCGGTGGCGGTGGTGGCGGCGGTGGCGGTGGTGGAGGTGGTGCCGGTGGTGGTAGTAGACAGAACGCGAGGGAGTCCCTGTCGGTGATCGTGCCACCTCAGGACGTGGACGTGGACTCGCGCGACGCCGACTCGGAGCTCCTCAGTCCGGGCAAGCTAACGCCGACGTCGGGGATAAGCGTCTCGGTCGCGAGTATGATCGACGCGACGGACTTCAGGGCGATGCAGCCGGAGCCTACCTATCAGACGCTGACCTCGGTCGCGGAGAGGATGTCGCCGCCCGGGTTCAGCCCGGGCTCGTCTTACGCGACCCTGACGCCGTTACAGCCGTTACCGCCGATCTCCACGATGAGCGACAAGTTTGTGTACAGTGCACACGCGGCCGGCGGCGTGACCGGTAGTTTCGCGGTCATGCAGAACAACGGCCTCGGCAATATCGGCCTCGGTATGGGCGGCTCGCCGTACGCATACGACAAATTGCCGACGATGAGCATGTCGCCGCCGCACAATTATCCTTCGCCGGGGGCCGGCCTTCAACCGAGCCCTTTGTCGCCCCAGAGCGCCTACAGCCAGAGCGGATTGAACTCGCCGCACAAATCCGCAAGCCCTCACTACGATCCGGCCTTTTTGCCGAGGTTGCAACAGAGCCCGGCGGCGTTGAGCCCATCCTCGCCGCCGGCCGTCTCGGCGACGGCAAGTTTCGCGCCTTCTCATCATTCCCCGCCCACGCATTCGGTGCCCGCTGCCTCGCCACCACCTATGCAGACCCAGTTGCAGCAGCAGCAGCAGCAACAGCAGCAACAGCAACAGCAGCAGCAGCAGCAGCAACAGCAACAACAACAATCGATCCAGCAACAACAGACGATATCGCACACGCAGCACGTGCAACACACGTCGGTTGTGATGAAGACCGTTTCGTCGGCCGGGAACGGGGCCGGCGAGGTCGAGGAGATCAACACGAAGGAGTTGGCGCAGAGGATCAGCGCCGAGTTGAAGAGGTACAGCATACCGCAGGCGATATTCGCCCAGAGGGTTTTGTGCCGTAGCCAGGGCACGCTCAGCGATCTGCTTCGCAACCCGAAACCTTGGTCCAAGCTCAAGAGCGGCCGCGAAACCTTCCGACGGATGTGGAAGTGGCTACAGGAGCCAGAGTTTCAGAGAATGTCGGCTTTGCGGCTAGCAGGTTAGTCTGTCCATCCCGATCTTTCCATCTCCTCTCCGTATATATATATATCTATATCTATATCTATATCTATATATATATATATATGTATATATATACAACACACTCCTTTTTTTCCCTTTTTCTTCCTCTCTCGTCTTTGTCTTCCTTTTTTTTGCCAATCTCTTTTAACGAATTAACGAAACAACTCGCGATACGATACGATACGATACGATGCGTTGTTACGTCGTATCGTATAGTCTATGATATAACCAAGCGTAAATATATAACCAACTTTCTAATCGAATGTGCTATCTCGTCTCGAACATCGCACGCGCGTCAAAAGTCTCTGATTTCACGCGCGTCTCCCGCGATATCGACGAGTTGAAAAAAATATATATATCGTTGTCGTTCCCCTAGCTTGATCCGTGCCTATCTTAAACTTAACTTTCCAGCGTAAATGAATGAATAATTTACAGCGATTTCTCGATCGCTCGACTCTATTCATCTTCTTTCTTTTCTTTTTTTTTTCCTCTCTCTTTTTTCGAACCGAACTAAAAAAAGCTCCACGCCGAAAATCGCGCTTCCATTAATAGCTTTCCAGTAGTTAGCCGATAGGTTTTCCCATAGGTTAACCCTATCATCAAAGGACGTTCTCCGCTCTCGACGCTCGAAAAAACTAGACTCGAAAACTTACTTTCTCTTGCTCCCCCTTACTTTATTAGGTATTAAATAAACGTTCGATATGTATATATCGAGGAGAATACACGGGGATATACGGTATAGATATAGAGGCGAGAATCGCGAAGGCGTAACGCGACGTAAGGCGGAACGGCGAAACGAGTCGAGAGGGACGGAGTTGCTTCGAAATGTTTTGGATCCCGACGAAATCCGGACGAGCGCGTGCACGACGCGCGTAAGAGACGCGGGCGGAAGAGCACACGTGGCACCCACGTGGAGAGGCGTTCCCTTCCATATCATTCAGAGATAGACGCGCGGAATAACACTTTTCGAATTCAACATCCTTTGCCCCGGCACAACACCGCGTACAGGTATTGATCGTGGTCACGCGGTGTTGGCCGAGGCGCGCATGCGCGACCTCGGCGACGCCATGTTGGCCATGCCGCCGCCACGCTGTCCGCCATCCCCTCTCCCGCCCACCGCCAACCCTTATTCGCCGCCGTGTTATCTACGCGATTTCGCGCCCGCGTGCGTGCACCCGCTCGTCGTGCGATCATGCATTCCCCACGCGTTTTTCGCGTCGAATACGTATCGTTTCGAACGATTTCTCCTCTCTAATTCACTTCTCTCCGCTTCTTCGAATCTCGCGATTCCCTTCGACTTGGAGACTTTCTAATTGTATTCGAGGTTGGGTTAGGTTGGATTAATGTTCCAACATCTCAACGCAACATGATTAATTCGAATCGAAGATTGAATTTCGTTCCCGTTGACCCTTCTGGCTGACCAGAAGGGAACAGACGACGATTCTTCTTTGCAAGAAGATCCTTCTTCGCAAAGAAGGTCAAGACGTGGAATGTAACGAGAGAGAGTGAGAGGGGTCAGAAATAAGAAAAGCAAACTCGCGTTCAGGGAGGACAAACATTTCTCCCCAGGCATGGAGCTCTTTTCTCACCCTCCTCCTTTCCGCCTCGTTCCTTTTGTACGGTGGCAAAAGCGTAAAGATAATGTCGAGGAGAGGAGAGGAGAGGGACAGTAACTATTCTGCAGCCAGTCGAACCTCTCTCTCTCTCTCTCTCTCTCTTCCTCTTCCTCCT